GCTGTGCAGATGTTTCTTCTCTGCAGCGACTGTGTCAAGCAGCAAGGATGGACCGGCTCCCAGCATTTAGGAGCCAGGCTGAGGGCTTTGGGCTCCATCCTATGCTGCAGGGTCATGAGCCCAAATGCCTCAAGTCTCTGGCAGGTAACTGGGAGCAGGGGAGTGGCCAGGGACAAAGAGATATTAGGGATGCTGGAGACTGCCCAACTGGAAAGCCCATGCCTTTCTTTTTTTTTTTAATATATATTTTATTGATTTTTTACAGAGAGGAAGGGAGAGGGATAGAGAGCTAGAAACATCGATGAGAGAGAAACATCGATCAGCTGCCTCCTGCACACCCACTACTGGGGATATGCCCGCAACCAAGGTACATGCCCTTGACCGGAATCGAACCCGGGACCCTTCAGTCCGCAGGCCGACGCTCTATCCACTGAGCCACACCGGTCAGGGCCCATGCCTTTCTAAAGAGGGCAACCACCACTCAGTTCCAGCCAATCACTGCCCTGCAAGGATGTGGGCCTAAAATTGCCAGTTTTTTTCCCCACTTTTGCAAGAGAAGCCAGAAATATGAACTTTCATGTGGAATTTCCTGATTTCTAAATGTTGGCAAATAATTAAAAATGTTTTAAGCAAGCTCAATGGACCAAACAAAACATGTCTTCTTAGATGGATTTCAGCCCACAGGTGGCCAGCTTAGAGCTCTGCTGCAGAGCCATAGAAAACAGTGGAAGCTTTGAAGCTGGAAAGTGATTCGATCAGACATTTACTTGAAAAAGATCACCCTGGCCTACTCATATGTGGGGGACGGCCTGGAGCAGAGGGAGCAGAGGCTGGGAGACTGATAAGGAGACTGCTGCATGAACCCGAAGAGGGAAAAGGATGGATGGCCTTCAAACATAATAGCAGTGGGGCTGGAGAAAAGTGGAGGAAAATCACTAGGAAATGGTGGAAGATTGGATGTTGGGAGGAAGGGTGAGGAAGGATCTAGGAAGCTTGGAAGGCTTCTAGTTTGGGCATCATTGGGTTGACAGTGCCATTTATTGTGATGGAAAAGAAAGGAAAAAGCAGATTGGAGAGAAGGTAGGGAAACGATGAAGCCAATTTTGGGCATGTTGAAATTGAGGTGTCTGTGGACTATCACAGTGGAAATATCTCTTCGATACCTGGATGCACTGTAGAAAATACGGTGTGAGGGGTGACTGTGGGCACCGGATCCTGGCAGACACAGGTTTTCATATCCTGGCTCTTGTCACTTATTAACTCCAGGCCTTGAGCAAGCCTCAATATCACTCATCTGTAAAATGGGGTACCACTGCCTAATTCACAAGGTTCTTGGATAGATGAGATAATTTAAGTAATGATTGTAGTGTCAAATCTGGAATTTGAAAAATGCTGATTATTTTTATTATTACAGGCATATCTCAGAGATATTGCAGGTTTGGTTCCAGACCACTGCAGAAAAGCGAGCCACACATTTTTTTGTTTCAGTACATATAAAAGTTATGTTTACATTATATTGTAGTCTATTAAGTATGCAATAGCATTATATCTTTAAAAAAACAATGTACAGCCTTAGCTGATTTGGCTCAGTGGATAAAGTGTCGGCCTGTGGACTGAAGAG